TCATGACTGACCTACACAGAGGACTTATTTCGTGGAATTCAAAATTTGTTAAATTTTTATCACATTTCTTGTCAGTCTTGATATAACACTATGTACATCAAATGCGACTATGGGGTGTTTGCGGACCATGTGTAACGGTCACCGTCACAATTACTATTTTAAAAACTTTTTTTAACTGACATATTAAGGAATGTTTTGGGTTTTTTCTGGACAATGAACTCCCAACAACAGATTTAAGTGCTATACCGAAAATTTTCCACCTGAATGTATTTTTGCTCAGTGTTAATATGATAGCCGCACCCGTACATATTTCCTATGATTTCAATAACGGAAGAGGTAATTTCCTGAATTGATAACTAATTCAGTTGGAAAAAGATAATCTCATTTGTTTAAACGTATATAGTAACACTACAAAATTAATTGAAATCCAAATAAGGCCTTAACTTCCACGAACGGTTACGACAGAGACGTATGTATGTGTTATATATGTCTCTGGTTACGATAACGAACCAGGTACATGTGTTTTAATTCTGCGAATCGAATAAGGATGTATTTTACGCATCATGCACAGACTCTACCAATCAAAACGTCTCCTACAAAAAGGGAATTTCCCCGTCTTGGCTTTGTTTTATTTACTTAACTTCAAAGAGAACTTTACTGTAGACAATGTAAATAAATGAACATGAGTATAACTATTTTGGTGTCTTGTATCGTGAGTGCATGTGACAACCTAGTAGAATACATACATTAACTGTAGTGTAGCAGACAAACCTTCATTTCTCTCAAGAGTCAGTCGAACTGTTTTTATCTTTCTCAATGCCCCTAAAACATTACGAAAAAATTAATACATATTGCATGATATTTGAATATGACTGTGCGTGGTAAAAAAGGCATTTTGGGAGTATCCCGTTTTAACCCACGTAATTTATGAAGAAGAAAGGGTATTCCCCTTTTTAGGAAAACCCCAACTTCAAGTATCGTTGGATGTAGAGGTATGAATTAACTCTTTTTCGTCTTCAGTCTCTCTGTAAATGGCTTTCTCATGAAAACACTACCTTGTATACTGTGATAATACAGTTTCTGAAGTACATGGTAGTTACATTCATAGCTTCGTCTGTCAATACACTCATTCTATTCACAGATATGGTATGTTGTCATGGTCCGTGTGTTAATTACTGCGTAAACATGTCTAAAAATGCGGAAAATCAAACCTAACAATTTATTAAAATGAAAGTTTGTTAAATGGCGGAAAGATGAAGTGGAGATGGTAACGCTCACATACCTTTAGGAACCGATACATACTGGCTAAATCTACGGTTGTGTTTATACTAAATGTCATGGAACTGCTGGTAAAGTAATATTACATATTAAATGACAGGCTAACAGATATTGAGTAATACATGAGTAGTAGACTTATACATGTGAATGGTTGTAGATTAGATTGTTTTCGACAAGTATACACTGACCTTCATGCGAACTGTCTAGATAGGGCTCATGTAATTACTGATATAATCAGTGAATGAAAAAATGATATTGACCATGTGTAGTAGATTAAGTAACAACTGTGTGCCTCTGGCTACTGGTCAATACATAATTTCCCGCCGGTCGATAGATGTCTGTAATAAATTATCAAATTTTGAATTAAGATCATGATTTAGAAATCTGACATATGTCTAACTGGACACAATTTGGAATAATTGACTTACCAAACATATTAACTTTTAATAGTTCATTATATAGCAATATAGCAATAAACACGTATCATTTCTCACCAATTATTACACATTATACAGTATGATTACCATATGTTTATAGACCAGGTTTCTCCCAACAGTCACGAGGGGAGTGCACAGGACCAAACCTTAATTCTTCCTCGGTACAAAGTTCGAGTTTCTTATTATACGGAATAGCGCGATTGCATGTGACGATCGATGTTAACTCAAAGTTCGTTAAATGATAGCCCACGTGTCACGAGTTTCCTTTAATACACGGATAAACCTGATACATTGACTTGGATTTCACATGTAACTATTTAACTAATCTAAAATTAGAGTTTAGTTAGCTTTGGTAGCACCCGTCCAGATTTTCGCTAGAACTCGTGAGTGATATTAAGGTCAGTGCTTAAAGCTTTATGAAACGTCTCCATTCATTCCAACATTTCTTTTTAGAAAAATTCGTTATAAAACATAAGTTTAGTTTTGGTAAAACTGATGGGTAAATGGTGAAAGTATCTTTATATCTAAGTTGTTGGAATGATGACGATTAAAATGGATCGCTGTAGAAGAAAACTACAGCTGTTCTACAAAATAAGTAATAAACTCACACCTGATTATCTATCCTCCTTATTGCCTCCTATAGTGTCAGAAAACTAACAGTATAACTTCTGTGATACACAAAACTATTCCTTGCCAAATGTCTATCTTTTTTCCCTTCTACTATCCGACTTTGGCACCAACTTGACCATGAGATTCGACACAGTGTTTCTGATTCAGTTTTTAAAGAATATATTCGAAACCCTGTAAAAGTTCCAGCTTATTATTTGATTGGTGATCGGGAATATACTGCATGCTCGACTAAGAGATAATTCTAGTACTTTAAACAATGACATTTTCAGATCACATTTAACAGATTACCGTCGCTGCCAATGCGGACATCCTCTTGCAGACACTTACCACTGCTTCTTCACTTGTAATAATAATGCAGATCAGAGAGTAATTCTATATCGAGAACTCTGCGTTGTTTTTAAATTATTCTGCGCATCGTTGCTGGTTTGTTATGTGTTTTAATTATGATTACTGTGACAAATCTGTAAAACACACGGTTAACAATTGCTATGTAAAAGATACAATTCATCCCTGACGATTGCTTCTAGATGTCATCATTTTCCTCTCCAGTTCCGCGAAATTCTTCCGTGAAAAACTGGGATTAATTGTGTTGTGTAAGGCAATGTATTCAGGTACGGTAAAATGTTTATCTATCCGTCACTGATCTTCACTATTATAATATAACCTTAATTTCTTTTCAGACAATATCAAAGATGACGAAGCGAAGCGCACAGTTTGGTGAGTTGTAAATGTATTTGTACATGAAACTCCATTCTGTACTTAAAAAATGTTTAAGGACTATATATGTGAAGTAGGATGTTGGTAATGCAAATTTTCCACCGACCAACCGAATTAGACATCGTAATACTATTTATCCATTATTTGCAATGTCAGGAAAAACATTTTGATCTCAGAAAAAGTGGATGTCAGAACTTAATGCATATATATATCTACGGCTTCTAAAGGCCTAGTTGATGACGCGCGTGAACTTTCAACATGTGCGACCACTCACTCAGATGATTCATGTTGCCATAATACGTAATATTTGAAAAAAAGAGGCAGGGAACTGATTCAATCCATCCTCCATAGATTATTTTGCGCCTCTGTTTCATCGATAAATTTGTGTACGTTTTATTAACAAATCATCTCCGATTGTATAATCCGTCCTCTGATAGTAGTGTTTTGTTGTCGCGTACTACCGTATAACTTGCCTTCTTTGTAGTGGTATGCACGTGATGCGTGAGCAGACTGTGGGGAGTTAAGTTTTATATTTGAAGGAACTACAGCAGATTTAAAAGAGGAGAGTTTAGCACTAGATGTTAAGTTAGGAGGGATCGAGATCCCCTATAAATGATCAGGGATGTATATGTCACTGCTCCATTTTAACTCCCCGAGTAAGTCCAAGCACGCACATCTTACGTTGGAAAAATAGGGAAATAATAGTTTTTAAATGATTCGTTTCCGATATGAATGAAAAAATTAATTGAAAATCAACACATAAAAAAACGACATTTTTGGTATGAAAAAATATAACAAAACTCATTTGATACAGAAACAAATGAAGCATAAAATCCCAGTACTAATTATAGCGTTGAACGTCTTCACGGGATACTGTCCGGAATCCCCCGGTAAATACAAGGTAATGTCAGACACCTGCCACCATCCCCGTGTTAAACGTTAGCGTGGGTCGTCCAGAAATACAAATCAACACCAATCCTTAGTGTCGGACTTCATTATTCAAAATCGTTCAACATACAAATGTAGGGTATACGTAACATTTCACACGAAAAGCACGTACCATCACTCTCGTCGAAGTAAGGTAAATTCATGCTCTTACAACGTAGTATAATTCCAACAAAGCGACGTCTAGTTATCTCAAAATCGAACTCCCCGCACTAATGATAGCGGTGTAACATCGACTATGATTTAAGTAGGAGGCAGTTAATATCTCCTGAATAGCGGGGTAGTAAAGCCTAACACGGTCAAACGAACAAATAGCAGTCAAGGTTATGAATACAGGATAATGGGTAAAACTGACCTCCTATCTAAGTTCACACGGTTAACATATACATAAGTCAAACATATAAAACAATGATGTTAAGATTAAAACACGGAAAAAATATCTCACACAGAGAAAAAAAACAAACAATACACAAGACCAACAAATGGATACTTTAATCCAGACCGTTTAAACAGATACGTCTATATTTTATTCAGTCCGTGCCTTTCAAAATCACGGCGATTATTTCACTAGAGCTTAAGTGTGGGCTAGTCCTCAGGTGTCTTTTTTGTTATGAAAGATAACAGGCGAGACCGGAAGTATCCAAATGTGTTGATCTGAATGCCTCGGTCGATTCTCATAGGTCGATCGAAAGTTCTTGAGGAGTTGCGAATGCATGGGGATTTCCAAAAGTTTGGATTGGTCGTGTAAACCTAAATTACTCAATATCGTGTTTAAATGATGTTTGTAAAATTATGTCAACATGTTGGAAAACTCAGCAGTTAAATAAGATTATGAAATAGTATTGTATAAAAATAGACGTGACCCTGAAATTACCCACAATAAATGATTTTAAGTACGTATGAAAGGATTGTTTCGTTTGTGTGGATAGATTTGCAAATTCGGTTTCCCACTGAAAAACAACAACCGAAAACCATTTGATGAAGTGTCATTTAAAGCGTATCCGGCATTTCTTTCCAGGCACGACATGCGACTCCTATCTAACGTTTGTACTTTAGACTTTCCATCCATACAGAACGGTCCTGTCTGTCCGTGTCATTGCATTTGAATGCCATATGTTCGAAGCTGGTTTCAATTTACGTGACAGTCATACATACGCAGTATTTAACTTACAAAACTGGGTTTCACATAAATATGTTATATATTTAGTATATCAGTATAACGGAAACTTTATTTTTAAACATGACACAATACCTTAATGCCTCAGCATCGAGAAACATTGCATGTTGACAACACCTTGTTCAGAAAATGGTATTATCACATGTGATACATTTTGTTGGTGGTATTGATGTTACCACAATTTTGGTCTTACATCCTAATTTTCTACAAATCATTCTATGATATAGCTGTAGTCACAGACTTTAATAGTCTAGGGTTAGACTTTATATCTGAGTCCTTACACAGGTACCAACTTTGTCAATACACATATACTTATAACATTATTGGTATGGGTGTATTGACAAGTGAGACTAGTACCTGTTGTCCATGCTAACATACTTTTAACAGAACACTTACTATATTTCAGATGAATAATTCATAATGGTGTTAGAGTTACTATACAATGTCGAATCATGCACATGTTGGTAATGCTCAGGAAGTGGATATTGAGGAATGTAAAGCAGAAGTGGAAAAACTGCGAGCCCATAAGAAGACACTGGAAGGAAAAATACAAGGCTATAGTTTTCTAGGTAAATTTATGTGCATCTAGTTTTATTCAATATAGTTAAAGCACAATGGCAATATTGCAGTGATACTGTATAGCTTCTTGATTTCAGTTGATACATTGTTTTATCGACATTAGGAAACATGACAATCTGGGATGATAATGGGTTTATCATGAAATGATACTTTATTGTGATATTTTTAAAGTTTCATGGAATGAAATTGTAAGGTTTTTGATATAAAGATCTGACTCATTTGAGTGATTTTAAACAGCCAGCTATAAGTTTTTCATTCTGGACTACTACAGTTATCTGCATTCACATTATAGGAATAAACTCTGAAAAATTCCATTTTAGAGTACCTGATAATGATAATGTACCTGATAAACTATTGTATATGTATATAAACCTTTTGTTGGAAGAAGAGATGCTGATTTTTTTTTTTTTTTTTTTTTTTGCATTGCAGGAAATAGACTCCGCGAAAAAGACGAAGAGTGTCGACAGTTAAAGCAAAAGCTAGCAGAAGTCACACAAAACACTCATTCAAAGACAGACAATCGTCCTGTTACCCCACAAAACACATCTTGTTTAACTTCAACTAAAGTAAGACTACATTTATACAAAATTAGATGATGGTGTATCAGCCCATATTTTTACCCTACCACCATCAGATGATGGGCTGTTAAAATCACCCCTTGTCCATGGTCCATAGTCTGTGGCATGTCCACTGTCCATTTGTCCTGGAACATTTCATGAATATTTCTTCAGAAGCACTGGTAGGTCATTCTCAAATTCATATATTGGTTACCCTTTGTCCCTAGTTGTGCACTGATCGTTTTTGGGACTGATTGGGAAAATGACACCGCTGAACTGTTGCCGAGTGATATTGGAATTTGACAGTTATTATAGTTTATTATAGATATTTCTGAAGAAGTACAGGATTGCTTATTTTCAAGTTTCATCTACAGGTTGCCCTTGGTCCTTAGTTGTTCTTTTTCAAACTGATAGGAAAAAACTAATTGGCCATCAAGAGGCCATCTTTAATTTTGACATTAATAGTTTGCTTTCTCTAGAAAAACATTGGATGGATCATTCTCAAATTTTATATGAAGGTTAACTTTGATCCCTGTTTGTGCCGATCAGAATGGCCAACAGATTATTTTTTTAACTGTTTTAATTTGTGATCACTTTTTCTTGAGAGGACCTGGATGGATCATATTCAAATAAAATAGGTAAATCCTCTTGCTCACATCTCCCAATTTTAGAATGATTTAAAGATATTAAAATGACAAAATCGAAACTGAAGTGGCCATCTTTGAATTTGACATTTTGAAATAGTTTGTTATCACTATTTCTTGAAGTACTGGAGGGATATTTGTCTTTGTAAAGGGTGCCTTTGTGCTGATGTTCAGTTCTTACAGCAAATAAGAGGATAGAGGATAGAAGGCAAAAGATCAAACTGAAAAAGATCTAATAAAGACAATGTCGGAGGCCAAGACTTGGTTCTCTTGTAGTCAAACTATAGATTTATGAGCAGTTATAAAGAAGAATTTCTTGTGTTTTAAATTTATATACAGATCTCAAGAGGGTGTTTGGAGTTTCTGTTGGTATCATACTGCATATATGTTTTATTGAATAAGGAAACATAATGAGAAACCATTTACTGTCTCTTTCCCTTTGTTGAATTGTCTGTAGCTGGAAAGTCCAGAATAAAACCATCTCCAATTGTCATGAGACCATGTGCACAGTAACCTGAGCTTATTCTGTTTCTACCATCACAATTTGATAGACAACTGTGTGATGTAGAACGTCTGTCTTAATGTCTAAAGTCTAGTGATGGCGCCAGAGGGAACATGTGCGAGGTGTTCTCCACTGAGCACAATTGATATCCTTTATGTATACAAATTGAGTGAATAATGCTGCTTAAACTTTCAATAGATTCTTATGAAGCATGATAAAATTTAATGGGTACCTGGGAAAGTTAGATATGTTAAACTGCTCTTTAAGAATCATTAATTTTAGATTTAGCTGAATGTTATATTAGGACTGGGAAGAGGGCTGGTGGTGATACCAATAAATAATGAGAAATAAGTCTGTTTTAAAGAGAAATAGTTATTGCTTTCACACTTTTTGTTTCAGAATATACAGACAAGCCTTCATCTCATGAATGATATTCATGTCATAAATACCTCCAATGGACATCCTTATCCTCTCCAATTAGCTACCCAGAGTCATCAGGCCTCTGCTAACACTACAGGTCTCATTGAAAGTGGAACAAAACAAAGCAGTCCTATTGACTGTTTGATTAAAGCGAAGTCAACAAACATTGTTAACATGTCATCCAATCATACAACTGTTGAAACCATTCGTCTGTTTCCCAGTGAAACAAAGCCTGCGGTATATGGACCTCCTGGAGATGGTGTTGCCTACCCACCAGTATTTGTCAGACGGGAGAGTGAAGTGTTGCAGAATTATGACAAATCCCATCCCATTCAAGGATCGCCGACTGATGCACAGACCGAAAGCTGTGATCAGACTGATGGACTAACCAAAGGTGCTGGTAGTCTAGGGATACAGATTCAAAAAGACTTAAAAAGCTATGATGTCCCAAATGAAACCAGTCTTAACTTGATGAATTTTGAAGATAGCATTTTGTATCCTCCAACTGATTTCAAGGTGTGTTACATAGAAACACTGATTATATTCCTGAAACTCCTCTGTTATGTCAAAAAATTATCTGCTATACTATTTGTCATGTATTTTAATGTGACTAGATTATTTTTATGCAGTCTTAACTATAATAACCTATGACCATAAGTTGAGGTCACAAAAAGAAATCACAGGTCGAAACAGTTGTCATGGTGAGATTTGTGCCATCACACTGGACATCAATATGTTTGATGAAACTTCCTACACATCTATCAGAGTAAGATATTTTCTACATTATCAACTTCACTTACAGTATTTCAAGGTCACATCAAATATTTGAAATTTTAAAAGAATGGAAGCTGTTCTTTGAAACTCTGAAATATCTTGTTTCATGATGAATTGACTTCACTTATTTTTTAAACATCTTGGGTTTTTTTAACACTGGTAATCTATTTTTGACTTCAGAAAGTGCCGGTGGATGACAGTGCAGTAGATCAACTGATCAGCATGCAGGTGCGAGCAGATCTAGTCACTGATGGTCCCTCACAGAACATAAAGAAGTATGTGGAAGACCATCTGCTGCCAATGCTACAGAAACAGGAAGAGGAAACGAAGGTAACATCTGCCAGAGTTTGGGAATTATGATATTTTACAAGATAGGCTGTGTAGTTAAGTGTAATCCGTGATATTACCTAAAGAGTTTATTGTATCAACCAAAATGTATGCTAGTTTTCTGTAGGACTTTTCAGGGTCTATTTGGTAGAGATTCCTTCCACTGTTTCAGAGGAAAGAAGAACGTTGGAAAAGTGAAAGATGTGAACTTCTTCAAAAGATTGAACAATTGGAAATGCCCAGGACAAAAAACCAGACCCCAGGCCAATCATTTTCAGAGAACCAGATGCCAGGTTGGGATGTCGTGCAGAGAAATGAGGCAATGGTAAGTTATATGGAGAATGGAGACAGTGACAAGTTACATAGACTGTGACATCAGAGTGGGAGGTTATATGGAGAATTGAGACAGTGACAAGTTACATAGACTGTGACATCAGGGTGGGAAGTTATATGGAGAATGGAGACAGTGACAAGTTACATAGACTGTGACATCAAGGTGGGAAGTTATATGGAGAATGGAGACAGTGACAAGTTACATAGACTGTGACATCAGAGTGGGAGGTTATATGGAGAATTGAGACAGTGACAAGTTACATAGACTGTGACATCAGGGTGGGAAGTTATATGGAGAATGGAGACAGTGACAAGTTACATAGACTGTGACATCAAGGTGGGAAGTTATATGGAGAATTGAGAGTATGGCAAGTTACATAGACTGTGACATCAGGGTAGGAAGTTATGTGGAGAATTGAGACAGTGACCAGTTACATAGACCATGACATCAAGGCGGGAAGTTATATAGATGACTTACGCAATTGTTAGTCTGATTGTGACAGTTAGTTACAGATTAGCAGATGTCAGGATAGGATGACGTAGGGTGAAGTTTGGTCACCATAAGTTACAGATTAGCAGATGTTGGGATAGGATGACATAGGGTGAAGTTTGGTCACCATAAGTTACAGATTAGCAGATGTCAGGATAGGATGACGTAGGGTGAAGTTTGGTCACCATAAGTTACAGATTAGCAGATGTCGGGATAGGATGGCGTAGGGTGAAGTTTGGTCACCATAAGTTACAGATTCGCAGATGTCGGGATAGGATGGCGTAGGGTGAAGTTTGGTCATTATAAGTTACAGATTAGCAGATGTCGGGATAGGATGACGTAGGGTGAAGTTTGGTCACCATAAGTTACAGATTAGCAGATGTCGGGATAGGATGACGTAGGGTGAAGTTTGGTCACCATAAGTTACAGATTAGCAGATGTCGGGATAGGATGACGTAGGGTGAAGTTTGGTCACCATAAGTTACAGATTAGCAGATGTCGGGATAGGATGATGTAGGGTGAAGTTTGGTCACCATAAGTTACAGATTAGCAGATGTCGGGATAGGATGGCGTAGGGTGAAGTTTGGTCACCATAAGTTACAGATTAGCAGATGTCGGGATAGGATGACGTAGGGTGAAGTTTGGTCACCATAAGTTACAGATTAGCAGATGTCAGGATAGGATGACATAGGGTGAAGTTTGGTCACCATAAGTTACAGATTAGCAGATGTCAGGATAGGATGTCGTGGGGTGAAGTTTGGTCACCATAAGTTACAGATTAGCAGATGTCAGGATAGGATGTCGTGGGGTGAAGTTTGGTCACCATAAGTTACAGATTAGCAGATGTCAGGATAGGATGTTGTGGGGTGAAGTTTGGTCACCATAAGTTACAGATTAGCAGATGTCAGGATAGGATGTCGTGGGGTGAAGTTTGGTCACCATAAGTTACAGATTAGCAGATGTCAGGATAGGATGTCGTGGGGTGAAGTTTGGTCACCATAAGTTACAGATTAGCAGATGTCAGGATAGGATGTCGTGGGGTGAAGTTTGGTCACCATAAGTTACAGATTAGCAGATGTCAGGATAGGATGTCGTGGGGTGAAGTTTGGTCACCATAAGTTACAGATTAGCAGATGTCAGGATAGGATGTCGTGGGGTGAAGTTTGGTCACCATAAGTTACAGAATAGCAGATGTCAGGATAGGATGACATAGGGTGAAGTTTGGTCACCATAAGTTACAGATTAGCAGATGTCAGGATAGGATGTCGTGGGGTGAAGTTTGGTCACCATAAGTTACAGAATAGCAGATGTCAGGATAGGATGTCGTGGGGTGAAGTTTGGTCACCATAAGTTACAGATTAGCAGATGTCAGGATAGGATGTCGTGGGATGAAGTTTGGTCACCATAAGTTACAGATTAGCAGATGTCAGGATAGGATGACATAGGGTGAAGTTTGGTCACCATAAGTTACAGATTAGCAGATGTCAGGATAGGATGCTCATACAGAAAAGTCATCTCTCCCTTTAAAGATATATAAAAATACTTCATGTATATTTGGTATATAGATTTTTTTTTATTGTCAAGTGAAAATAGAAAAATGGAAAATAGACACATATATTCTTTCATATAAGTGGAAAATTTATAAGGGAAAAGCGAACAAACTTGTTTCCAAGTTAGGAAACTATTGACATGTTCTTTGATGCCACATACCTATTTCAAATTGGCTTGTTTACATGGTATGCAACCATTTTGTTTGTTTCTTGGTAAGAATCAATCACAGAAATGTTTTTAAATACCAAATTAGAGAAAATTAGAAATGACACAGATGGAAAGCAAACTTAGGCACTGTTGCATTAAAATATCTATCCCACCCTACCGTTGAATTTAAGTGAAAATTTGCTTAGGCAGGAAAATTAATCAGGAATATATGAGATTACATATGGACTCATAGGGTCAAAAGGATGTTTTACTGGAATAGTTCTTATTCAATCTTTCGATTCATTTGCATCTGCACAGGAAGCATTTGAAATGCAGTAACTAGAAAGCAATGCTGTGATTGGTCAGAACTATAAATATTTTATCATCACTGGAATAGATATATCACTAGTGATGGTGATTTTTGATATCATCACTGTAGTGATGACTTGTATAACCTTTTATAAAATACTACTTAAATGTAGTAAAATGCATGTGGTTGTATTTTTAACAGAAGTCAAGTGATGTGAGATTGTTGGAAGAACACAACAAACAGGTAAGGATTACATGAATTATACCTGTACTGTAGTAATAGTCATAATCGTTCATTAAAAATATAGACAGTAAATCAGATTATAGTGGACTGCTACAGAAATATAGAGAGTAGGTCAGACATATAGTGGGCTGTTACAGAAATATAGAGAGTAAGTCAGACTTATAGTGGGCTGTTACAGAAATATAGAGAGTAAGTCAGAGAGTAGATCAGACTTATAGTAGGCTGTTACAGAAATATAGAGAGTAGGTCAGACTTATAGTGGGCTGTTACAGAAATATAGAGAGTAAGTCAGACTTATAGTGGGCTGTTACAGAAATATAGAGAGTAAGCCAGAGAGTAGATCAGACTTATAGTAGTCTGTTACAGAAATATAGAGAGTAAGTCAGAGAGTAGATCAGACTTATAGTGGGCTGTTACAGAAATATAGAGAGTAAGTCAGACTTATAGTGGGCTGTTACAGAAATATAGAGAGTAAGTCAGAGAGTAGGTCAGACTTATAGTAGGCTGTTACAGAAATATAGAGAGTAAGTCAGAGTGGGCTGAGTCAAGTCAGACTTATAGTGGGCTGTTACAGAAATATAGAGAGAGTAAGTCAGACTTATAGTGGGCTGTTACAGAAATATAGAGAGTAAGTCAGAGAGTAGATCAGACTTATAGTAGGCTGTTACAGAAATATAGAGAGTAAGTCAGACTTATAGTGGGCTGTTACAGAAATATAGAGGGTAAGTCAGACTTATAGTAGGCTGTTACAGAAATATAGAGAGTAAGTCAGACTTATAGTGGGCTGTTACAGAAATATAGAGAGTAAGTCAGAGAGTAGGTCAGACTTATAGTAGGCTGTTACAGAAATATAGAGAGTAAGTCAGACTTATAGTGGGCTGTTACAGAAATATAGAGAGTAAGTCAGAGAGTAGGTCAGACTTATAGTAGGCTGTTACAGAAATATAGAGAGTAAGTCAGACTTATAGTGGGCTGTTACAGAAATATAGAGAGTAAGTCAGAGAGTAGATCAGACTTATAGTAGGCTGTTACAGAAATATAGAGAGTAAGTCAGACTTATAGTGGGCTGTTACAGAAATATAGAGAGTAAGTCAGAGAGTAAGTCAGACTTATAGTGGGCTGTTACAGAAATATAGAGAGTAAGTCAGAGAGTAGATCAGACTTATAGTAGGCTGTTACAGAAATATAGAGAGTAAGTCAGACTTATAGTGGGCTGTTACAGAAATATAGAGAGTAAGTCAGACTTATAGTGGGCTGTTACAGAAATATAGAGAGTAAGTCAGAGAGTAGATCAGACTTATAGTAGGCTGTTACAGAAATATAGAGAGTAAGTCAGACTTATAGTAGGCTGTTACAGAAATATAGAGAGTAAGTCAAGACTTATAGTAGGCTGTTACAGAAATATAGAGAGTAAGTCAGACTTATAGTGGGCTGTTACAGAAATATAGAGAGTAAGTCAGAGAGTAGATCAGACTTATAGTGGGCTGTTACAGAAATATAGAGAGTAAGTCAGAGAGTAGGTCAGACTTATAGTGGGCTGTTACAGAAATATAGAGAGTAAGTCAGACTTATAGTGGGCTGTTACAGAAATATAGAGAGTAAGTCAGACTTATAGTGGGCTGTTACAGAAATATAGAGAGTAAGTCAGACTTATAGTAGGCTGTTACAGAAATATAGAGAGTAGGTCAGACATATAGTGGGCTGTTACAGAAATATAGAGAGTAGGTCAGACATATAGTGGGCTGTTACAGAAATATAGAGAGTAAGTCAGACTTATAATGGGCTGTTACAGAAATAAAGAGAGTAGGTCAGACATATAGTGGTCTGTTACAGAAATATAGAGAGTAAGACTTTTAGTCTGATTGTTGTCTGTTAGGTACATACAAATGGGACAGAACAATGTTGTGTGTCTTCTGTTAGATATATACAAATGAAACAGAGCAATATATTTTGTTTTCTATTAGGTTTATACGTGTTTCTTTTATTAAGCTTGTGGATGCCAATAGGAGCTGGCAAGCATTTTATGAAAAGACACAGACAGAGCAACAAAAGACAGCTGATCACTACAAAGAAAAATTTGAGGCACTGACCCAGGAAATCAGTAGGATGAAAGTCCAAGACGAGCAAAAGAAAGCTGATTTTCAGAAAATATTATTCGAGTCAAAGCAGAAACAAGCTGATGAAGAGGTAAGTTGCTATTTGATTCATTAGTCCCTGTAAGGATTTTGGTTATACTGGTTACCAGTTTCTGTGGTATCTTAGGTATCTAAAAGGAGTTTGGTTTTATTGATCTCAATAATGAGTTGATTTTGACCCTTTGTTTGTCTGCGTACTGATGGTCCCTCTGTTTATCTAAGTACTGATGGTCCCTCTGTTTATCTGGGTACTGATGGTCCCTCTGTTTATCTAAGTACTGATGATCCCTCTGTTTATCTGGGTACTGATGGTCCCTCTGTTTATCTGGGTACTGATGGTCCCTCTGTTTATCTAAGTACTGATGATCCCTCTGTTTATCTGGGTACTGATGGTCCCTCTGTTTATCTGGGTACTGATGGTCCCTCTGTTTATCTGGGTACTGATGGTCCCTCTGTTTATCTGGGTACTGATGGTCCCTCTGTTTATCTGAGTACTGATGGTCCCTCTGTTTATCTGGGTACTGATGGTCCCTCTGTTTATCTGGGTACTGATGGTCCCGCTGTTTATCTGAGTACTGATGGTCCCTCTGTTTATCTGGGTACTGATGGTCCCTCTGTTTATCTGAGTACTGATGGTTCCTCTGTTTATCTGGGTACTGATGGTCCCTCTGTTTATCTGGGTACTGATGGTCCCTCTGTTTATCTGGGTACTGATGGTCCCTCTGTTTATCTGAGTACTGATGGTCCCTCTGTTTATCTGGGTACTGGTGGTCCTTTTTTTAATGTATGGAACACTTTCTCTGCTTATTAGGCACTTAAGGAAGAAATGCAACACTATAAAGGAAAGGCAGAGGCATTGGAGAGACAGCTGCAACAGATCCACCCAGGCGTCCTCCAAAACAATATGAATGCTCTACACATTGCAGTATGTGATATTTTCCTTTGTTATTACCTAATGGCAATGGCAGTTAGTGATAGGGTAAACTATGTAGAGATGATACATCTGTATCATGTGTTGTTTATAGGGTAAACTATGTAGAGATGATACATCTGTATCATGTGTTGTTTATAGGGTAAACTATGTAGAGATGATACATCTGTATCATGTGTTGTTTATAGGGTAAACTATGTAGAGATGATACATCTGTATCATGTGTTGTTTATAGGGTAAACTATGTAGAGATGATACATCGCTATCATGTGTTGTTTATAGGGTAAACTATGTAGAGATGATACATCTGTATCATGTGTTGTTTATAGGGTAAACAATGTAGAGATGAAACATCTGTATCATGTGTTGTTTATAGGGTAAACTATGTAGAGATGATACATTTGTATCATGTGTTGTTTATAGGGTAAACTATATAGAGATGATACATCTGTATCATGTGTTGTTTATAGGGTAAACTATGTAGAGATGATACATCTGTATCATGTGTTGTTTATAGGGTAAACTATGTAGAGATGATACATCTGTATCATGTGTTGTTTATAGGGTAAACTATGTAGAGATGATACATCTGTATCATGTGTTGTTTATAGGGTAAACTATGTAGAGATGATACATCTGTATCATGTGTTGTTTATAGGGTAAACAATGTAGAGATGATACATCTGTATCATGTGTTGTTTATAGGGTAAACTATGTAGAGATGATACATCTCTATCATGTGTTGTTTATAGGGAACGTCTGGACCCCCTGAATTCAATATAACAAATGGCAGATCTCTACGTGACCTACAAGTTGAGAATGAGACTCTGAGATGTCAGGTAAGTAAGGTTTCTCCTGGTGTTTTTATCCAACTTGTATTCATCCATTATACTTGTATCAAACGTACACAGTAAAAGTTTTGTTTTATCCTATTTTACGGTTAAGTGACCTTCTTTTTCGTAACTCAGTGCTATAGACGATATAGAATGTACAAGAGTATGTATTTATTGAGTCTTATTTTAAAATATTGTTTTCAGAAATTGTTACTCTTTAAGATATCAGTGTGAGTACAATATTTGTATCACTTTAGGTAAGACGTTCAGTGTGCGAGAGTGGGTGTGTATCGACGCCATTCACATTACTTTTTTTGTTTCATTTATTCATATTTATATCTGTTTATTGAATTAAAAGATACTGTTAGTGTATAAAAAATTTTATTTATTACTTATTCATTACTGTCATGCCATGCTATGAGACATATATTCAGTAAACAACCAATGAAAAAAGGGCCAATCTTCGATGCAGAATGTCTCTGTTTATAGAAACAGGGCTAAGTCGAATCAACGGATAAGTCCATTATTTCATTTGGTCCCGTTGACTTTGACTTATCCGTGTTTTATTGTACAAATTATTATGTTCAAAACACTGAGCATGTTGTTTTTTTGTAAATATTAGCTCACAGTGTTCCAAGAAGACTTTGACAGAGAGAGGAGTGATAGAGCTCAGGCTCAGGCAGCTAAGGAAAACTTCAAGGAAGAGCTGGACGCAGTGAAACAAGAATGCAATCTCTTAAGGAACCAGATGAAACAAAATGAAAGAAATGTATGTAATGTTTAGCAACATGATATGATTAACTCAGTCATATCATTAGTGTATCAATAATGAATACACGAGTTTGAAAATATTTTTGAAAATCAATTACTCCAGTTAAAATCACTTGATCGTTATGATCTTTGTAGTGTTAGTGTTATTTTCAACATGCTTCCAACTTGAGATGATTGTTTTGTTAAGTTGAAGTAAAATGAAATTTTAGAGAAGCTGTTTGGTGAACATAGATCACTGATGCCAATGCCTGTCAGCCTGGCTGTTTCCAGTCTCTATGACCTTCACATTTTATAGTGGATGTGATATAGTGTTAGCCATGTCATTTCATTGCATGAACTCAGATCCTGTTGTGTCTCTTTCTGAATCAGTGTCTTGTCTTGAGATTTAGTTCATTATTCACAACATAGTATCATAACATCATGTTCTACACCTGATCAGATTCTGGTTCACACTTACCCTATAGTATCATAACATCATGTTCTACACTTGATCAGATTCTGGTTCACACTTACCCTATAGTATCATAATATCATGTTCTACACCTGATCAGATTCTGGTTCACACTTACCCTATAGTATCATAACATCATGTTCTACACTTGATCAGATTCTGGTTCACACTTACCCTATAGTATCACACATCATGTTCTACACCTGATCAGATTCTGGTTCACACTTACCCTATAGTATCATAACATCATGTTCTACACCTGATCAGATTCTGGTTCACACTTACCCTATAGTATCATAACATCATGTTCTACACCTGATCAGATTCTGGTTCACACTTACCCTATAGTATCATAGCATCATGTTCTACACCTGATCAGATTTTAATTTGTAAATGAATGGCGGCCTCTATGTATAGCCTTTTCAAAATTTATCTTTGAAACAAAAGAAATAATCATAATATCCTGAGGATTAGAGGGTTACCTGTATTGAAATAGCCTGAGGATTAGAGGGTTACAGGTATTGAAATAGCCTGAGGATTAGAGGGTTACAGGTATTGAAATATCCTGAGGATTAGAGGGTTACAGGTATTGAAATATCCTGAGGATTAGAGGGTTACAGGTATTGAAATAGCCTGAGGATTAGAGGGTTACAGGTATTGAAATAGCCTGAGGATTAGAAGGTTACCTGTATTGAAATAGCCTGAGGATTAGAGGGTTACAGGTATTGAAATAGCCTGAGGATTAGAGGGTTACAGGTATTGAAATAGCCTGAGGATTAGAGGGTTACAGGTATTGAAATAGCCTGAGGATTAGAGGGTTACAGGTATTGAAATAGCCTGAGGATTAGAGGGTTACAGGTATTGAAATAGCCTGAGGATTAGAGGTTACAGGTATTGAAATAGCCTGAGGATTAGAGGGTTACAGGTATTGAAATAGCCTGAGGATTAGAGGGTTACAGGTATTGAAATAGCCTGAGGATTAGAGGGTTACAGGTATTGAAATAGCCTGAGGATTAGAGGGTTACAGGTATTGAAATAGCCTGAGGATTAGAGGGTTACAGGTATTGAAATAGCCTGAGGATTAGAGGGTTACAGGTATTGAAATAGCCTGAGGATTAGAGGGTTACAGGTATTGAAATAGCCTGAGGATTAGAGGTTACAGGTATTGAAATAGCCTGAGGATTAGAGGGTTACAGGTATTGAAATATCCTGAAGGTAGAGGGTTACAGGTATTGAAATATCCTGAGGATTAGAGGGTTACAGGTATTGAAATATCCTGAAGATTAGAGGGTTACCAGTATTGAAATATCCTGTGGATTAGAGGGTTACCAGTATTGAAATATCCTGAGGATTAGAGGGTTACCAGTATTGAAATATCCTGTGGATTAGAGGGTTACCAGTATTGAAATATCCTGAGGATTAGAGGGTTACCTGTATTGAAATATCCTGAGGATTAGAGGGTTACCTGTATTGAAATATCCTGAGGATTAGAGGGTTACCTGTATTGAAATATCCTGAGGATTAGAGGGTTACCTGTATTGAAATATCCTGAGGATTAGAGGGTTACCTGTATTGAATTTCATATTTCTATGCTTTCATTATTCGTTTTGTTTTAATTGATTTAATGTCAATTGACAGATGAGGCAAGCTCAATCTAACTGTCGAGAAGCTCATCGTGAAAAGGACAATCTTCAACAGGAGATTAGAGACCTAAAGAATACGGTAATTTTCACAACATTTACATTCATATATCAGTTGTAGTGAAAGTATTTGATATTAATGATTTTGATGTATAGATATCAGATTAAGAATATCTGTGTGTTTCAGCTGAGGAGAGAAAAGGAAGCAAATGCAATGCACTTACAGAGACCATTCCCAGCACAGATCCAACCTGTTCCACAACATCAGGGTTACCTTAATCATCCTGGAGGGATGGTAAATGGCACACCACACATAGAGCCCAGCCGTGTTGCTGCTCAGCCTCAGACAGATCCATTTGCCCAGCCGATACCATCTTATATGGCCAACACCCACCAGAGGTCTTCAGGTAAAAATATACCTGTGCTACACATACCAATTAATATATGGAAAATTTGGATTATTTTGGTCTTGATATAGTCAGTGTTTAAGGAAATCCTAATTTTAGATGATTTTTCTGAAGGTGTCCCACAGCCACAAAAAGACATGTCAGGGGAATGGCAGTGTAACAGGTGTACTGTAAATAATCACCCTTCACGTACTGTCTGCGAGGTGTGTGGATACAAACAGCCATTTGCTCAACAAAGACCAGGTATAGTGCAGTAAATAACCTCCTTTTTATGTGCCATGAAAAATAAAAAGATGCATGAGTTGAATAAAGACAAGATAACAAGTCTTTATATCATTGTTACCATAAGAACTAAAAAATACTGTTTTAAGCCATTCAAGGAGTATAAATTTCATTGTTACCATGGTAACTAAAATAAAATTAAACAATATCACAGTTACTGTTGAAAGACTGCTTTAAAAGGAGAAAGTTGAACAAAGACAAGGTCGGGAGTGTTTGATCACTGTTACTGTGGAGAGACTGCTTTAGAAAGAGAAACAGGATAAACTTATAGTTTGTCTCATATTTCATGTTTAAATACACACAGCCACACAAATGTTGTAAACTCATCAACTCTCTGAAAATTGTAAAGGGCTAATGTGTTTCAATGTAGCTGAATGTTGATGAGACTGTACAGGATCTGTACCAATAATTGTTCACTTTCTGACTTCAGGATATGTCCCACCCCAGCTCTACAGAACAGGCTACAATGGAGACCAGATGGAACCATGCGAAAGTTTTGACCTCTCAACAGACACAGGAGATTTAGCACAAGACTAAGCAGTTCAAAATATCTGACAGGGTTATACAGTTAATGAGCCTAAATCAAGTTGTGGTATTAGTACAAGATCAGTTTTAAATGGCGCTAATGAAATTCCTGAATGTTAAATACATTCTTACTTGAAATATTCCAAAATTAACATTTCTTCTCCAATGGTCTACTGTAGATGTTCAGGAGATCAGAATCTGGGAAAAGTTAATAAGTGGAACTGAGGTGTAGAATGTGTCTACAGTTTAGTGATGTCAGCGTCTGGTTATGAAACTACCTGTGCTTGGTGTAGATTCTAATCTTGTTTAGATTTTCACAGTAATGTATAAATATAGATATTCTATCATTGTATGTAATGTATACAAGTGCATTATGAATAAAAAAAAAGATTCGGACAGTGTTCCAAAATTAATAAGAAACTTTACATTAGTATTGAGTTTCCCAGGAAGTAAGATCATTCCTTATTTTGGAACTTTAAGAAATAGAACCATACATTGTTTTACACAGTGAAATGGTTACCCCATTCTTACCTTAATACAGGTCAACTTGTCGTAACAACAAAAGCACGTATACATTGCATGTTAGATATTCGTTATTATTTTATACTGTATGTCATTTGTTTATAACAGTATATGAATTGATGAAAACAAGTTATTGTACAATAAATATATCCATCCAGACTCAGATTAGAACAGCTCACAATCGTGTGATAGATATTGAATCCCAGTAACTTATCATAAAGATAATTAATTTTGGCTTTGTATACAGATTTTGCATTCCACTAACAAACGAATACAGAATGTTTTATTTTTTGTTGAAAACTGGTCCAAGCATGGTACTGTAGAACAGCTGCATCACACTAATGTCTCAGTGGGTTACTACAACTGTTTATTAGTTATTTTCAGTAAAACCAGATAAAGCAAAAAATAACAAATATAGGGGATCTTGCGGGAGATTTCATTTCAATTGAAATTTGCGAAACAAGTCTCAAATTTTTTATCAAACTTTGATGAAAAATATGTCACATTTCAATCTCATATGAAATTTGAAACAAAAGTAAGATCCAGTTAGGACATCTCTAGATACCTAATTAGACTGATCTGAAATCTAGATCGGTGATATTCTCACCTGTCTGTGATGTCATAATGTATATAACAGCATAAAGTTATCAGCCAATGTCACTGATCTACTATTATTACACATGTTAGATGTTATGGGTGGTAACATAGAAGTTACAGGCAACAGATGTAGGTGTGCAACACAAGGCTACGGGGTATCCTGGCACAATTTGTAAGTATGATGGAATAGTGATATAGCCATCGGCAAGTTTTGTGCAAATTAAATTTTCATGTCTTTACATGATTCAAATATGCAGTTTTCTAGCTTAAGCATGAAAAGCACATATTTGATTTTTATCCTTTTTAGATAAAGGATCTCATATGGGTTTCCATTTGATATGTGAATTTATGAAAAAAGTCCAAAGAATTTTTCATTTTAGCAAGCCATCAATGAGCTGAAATAAAAATATCTTAAGAGTTCATAAATCTTATATCAAATGAAAACAAAAGATACTTTTTATCACATGATTGCTTTTTAAAGCAAGTTTGGTAGAAAACTGACATTTCTAAATCAAAGTCAACTCTATATCTACAGTCTCCGTTATAATGTCACAATGTCTTTGGTGAAAGTGTAACATCATATTATCTAAAGTGACATTACAATAAGCTATATTACACATGTTTAACATTCAAAAATGTGACGGGTTTATTCACTGAAGAACAAGGCAATCATGTGGTAAAGAATACAACTCTAGGCTTTGATACATACATGAAGCAAAATGCTTTCTTTGTACAATAGAATATCGTATCAAACATAAATCTGTGTCAATCTTTTTTATCATCTTGTAATATTTATTGACATCTATCAGTTTTATTCCTATAGATTTCTCAAATTTCTCAAAATTTTATCCAAAATCACAACACAGATGAAAGAAATTTTTATTTGAAACATATATCTCATATATTTGAGAGGAATTTTCTCTATACCAAATCTATAATCAAAAGATTTCTTTTAGTGTAATGCAATAAAAATCATACCAAAACTACTTATTTCTATTTTAGGTCATATTGATATAGTTTTTTGATGTGAATGAATTTGTTCCCTCTTCATCATCTTTGTATTTTAAACAGTGTTTTATCCAGAAATTTAACAGAACAACTAAGAACTACATGATGAGGTTGACAGGGCCCTAAAATGACTGTAGTTACTGTAACACATTTCTTCTGATATTCCTTACTAAGTAGCACAATACCAAGTGTGTTTTATCTTACGTTTATTATTAACAAACATTTTGCTCTCTTGATGATACTGTTGGTAACCTACTTAATGTCATCCCACATCAGATGCTGTCTCAGTTATATCTCCAGTATAGAAAATAGATTTAACCATTTATTTCACCGTCCGTCATACGAAAAACATCCTAAACAAATCTACATACCAGAAAATGGATTGTTTAAATTTGGCTATAAATATTCAGTATGTTTGATAAGTGTTAATGAATATATTTCTTTATGATAGATGACAGCTTTCAATAGGGTAGAATGCAATGAAAATATCAATGGTTTTCAAACTCGTCATGTAATAAAAAGCTTGCGCACATTTTTGTTACCATAGAATTAAAAAAAAGGTTTCGATGATTAATTAGACTGATGTGGGTCAGACGTTTAAAAGAAGGTGCCAGATTGTCCATTTAAAAGAATGTCAGGTAACATGAAGGAGGAAATATTTCCTTGTCTTTGTTGTAACTTGTGTATATAGTGACATAAACAGAGGAGTTATGCCACTGCTCGGAAGGGTGTCTCGGAGTGTGGTATATACTATTATCTTAAGAGCAAAATATTAGTTTCAATCAAAAGGTCATGTAGTATATTGACTTAGCTGTGTTAACTCACAAAAAAAAGTTATATATATATATTTATGTATGTATATATATAACGTGGTATCATGATGTCTCTCCAAATATCTTTTATAGTTGCTATAGTTCATAAAGCTACCGCTAATTTCTACTCGGCCCTGAACGACGAAACAGAATTGTTAACAAAAAGAATGGTAAAAATTGTACCAGAAGTTGTTTTAATTAAGGAATGACTAACCAAATAGGAGTAAAAATGAACAATCATGTACTGTCTACTAATAAGAGGACAGTGTAGGAAACAGCAGTGTGTATATTAATGATTCAAAATATCACTTAATAGCATATCTGCAGTATCAGCTAGAAAGGATCAAATAGTAAACACGAGAATGTTTGGGACTGGACTTTCCAGTGTGGTGTAAAGGTTTGCTATAGAGAGGATTCTTGGATTCATGATGTATCTTGGATGTGTGTGGATTTTCTCTTGTGGTACAGAGAAAATCGGGTCTTTTTTAAGGAGGGATTATTTTTTGAGAAGTGGCTGATATTAACAGCTTTGTTTACATAATTTGTTGTAAATGGAGAACATAACAGTACAGCATTGTACTGAATCAATGATTGTTGATGTGGATTTGTTTAATGTTAAGTTGATAAATAACATTGTCAGTGTTGTTTTTTTTTCTTTTTTCAATCAAATGATTTTATGTATCAAGCTCTAGTATGCCTTATTTGATAGAAACGTATTTAAGAAAGAGCATCATGCTTTTCAGTATTGTGAGACCTGTTATTAAGACTTCCTGCGAACAGAATACAGGATATAATTGGATTTGATATGAAATATGCATTATTAGGAAATGCTTATTTTGTGGTGTTGTTATTTTTCTTGCTTCGTATTTGTTTTGACTTGATTATATTTCCTACTTGTAAACCAGAAAGTGATCACTCTTGATGCTAACAAGTTTATATGTGTAGATTTTGATTATATTGATAGATTGAGAAATATTGATTTAACTGAGAAGGTTTAGTTATTATGTTTTTAAGTTACGATGATTAGTTAACTTTTATATGGTTAACAACTACCTAATTTAGATTATATGATGTCATGATTTAACACCTTATATAAAACGTACCATATTATGTATATATATAAATTGGCGTAGTTATCTAGTTAATAGAAGGATGTTAGGATATAGTTAACAGTTTACCTGTTACCAAGCTTGTAGGACTGACTTAACTAATGATATAGTTAACAGTTTACCTGTTACCAAGTTTGTAGGACTGACTTAACTCGTATTATAGTTATCTGGTTAATAGAAGGACGTTATGATATAGTTAACAGTTTACCTGTTACCAAGTTTGTAGGACTGACTTAACTCGTATTATAGTTACTAATGATATAGTTAACAGTTTACCTGTTAGTTAGTATTATAGTTACTAGAAGGACTGGTTAATAGTTAACAACCTGTTACCAAGTTTGTAGGACGTTACTAATATATAGTTAACAGTTTACCTGTTACCAAGTTTGTAGGACTGACTTAACTTAGTTATCTGGTTAATAGAAGGACGTTATGATATAGTTAACAGTTTACCTGTTACCAAGTTTGTAGGACTGACTTAACTCGTATTATAGTTATCTGGTTAATAGAAGGACGTTATGATATAGTTAACAGTTTACCTGTTACCAAGTTTGTAGGACTGACTTAACTCGTATTATAGTTATCTGGTTAATAGAAGGATGTTATGATATAGTTAACAGTTTACCTGTTACCAAGTTTGTAGGACTGACTTAACTAATGATATAGTTAACAGTTTACCTGTTACCAAGTTTGTAGGACTGACTTAACTCGTATTATAGTTATCTGGTTAATAGAAGGACGTTATGATATAGTTAACAGTTTACCTGTTACCAAGTTTGTAGGACTGACTTAACTAATGATATAGTTAACAGTTTACCTGTTACCAAGTTTGTAGGACTGACTTAACTAATGATATAGTTAACAGTTTACCTGTTACCAAGTTTGTAGGACTGACTTAACTCGTATTATAGTTATCTGGTTAATAGAAGGACGTTATGATATAGTTAACAGTTTACCTGTTATCAAGTTTGTAGGACTGACTTAACTCGTATTATAGTTATCTGGTTAATAGAAGGACGTTATGATATAGTTAACAGTTTACCTGTTACCAAGTTTGTAGGACTGACTTAACTAATGATATAGTTAACAGTTTACCTGTTACCAAGTTTGTAGGACTGACTTAACTCGTATTATAGTTATCTGGTTAATAGAAGGACGTTATGATATAGTTAACAGTTTACCTGTTACCAAGTTTGTAGGACTGACTTATGATATATTAATAGTTTACCTGTTTAATAGAAGGACTGACTTAACTATGATATAGTTAACAGTTTACCTGTTACCAAGTTTGTAGGACTGACTTAACTCGTATTATAGTTATCTGGTTAATAGAAGGATGTTATGATATAGTTAACAGTTTACCTGTTACCAAGTTTGTAGGACTGACTTAACTTATGATATAGTTAACAGTTTACCTGTTACCAAGTTTGTAGGACTGACTTAACTCGTATTATAGTTATCTGGTTAATAGAAGGACGTTATGATATAGTTAACAGTTTACCTGTTACCAAGTTTGTAGGACTGACTTAACTTATGATATAGTTAACAGTTTACCTGTTACCAAGTTTGTAGGACTGACTTAACTCGTATTATAGTTATCTGGTTAATAGAAGGACGTTATGATATAGTTAACAGTTTACCTGTTACCAAGTTTGTAGGACTGACTTAACTTGTGATATAGTTAACAGTTTCTCTAGTAGTATGTTTTAACATATGTTAACAGGTTAGTTTTTTATAAATGAATGTTGATAGGTTAAAGTTAACAGTTTATGTAGGGACTTAACGTATTATAGTTATCTGGTTAATAGAAGGACGTTATGATATAGTTAACAGTTTACCTGTTACCAAGTTTGTAGGACTGACTTAACTAATGATATAGTTAACAGTTTACCTGTTACCAAGTTTGTAGGGACTTAACTCGTATTATAGTTATCTGGTTAATAGAAGGCGTTATGAATAGTTAACAGTTTACCTGTTACCAAGTTTGTAGGACTGACTTAACTCGTATTATAGTTATCTGGTTAATAAAGAATATATAAAAGTTTACCTGTTACCAAGTTTGTAGGACTGACTTAACTGTATTATAGTTATCTGGTTAATAGGACGTTATGATATAGTTAACAGTTTACCTGTTACCAAGTTTGTAGGACTGACTTAACTCATATAGTTATCTGGTTAATAGAAGGATGTTATGATATAGTTAACAGTTTACCTGTTACCAAGTTTGTAGGACTGACTTAACTCGTATTATAGTTATCTGGTTAATAGAAGGATGTTATGATATAGTTAACAGTTTACCTGTTACCAAGTTTGTAGGACTGACTTAACTTTTATAGTTATCTGGTTAATAGAAGGATTGATATAGTTAACAGTTTACCTGTTACCAAGTTTGTAGGACTGACTTAACTCGTATTATAGTTATCTGGTTAATAGAAGGACGTTATGATATAGTTAACAGTTTACCTGTTATCGAGCTTGAAGGACTGACATAAGTTGTGCTATAAGGAACTAATTTCTCTAGTAGTATGTTTTAACATATGGCTAACAGGTTAGTTTTTTATAAATGAATGTTGATAGGTTAAAATCTGGCTAAACCTTTAAGCAAATCACTTAAAAGGTTACCAAGTTTGATTATCCAAATGAACTTGTCTTGCAATGTGAAAGGGGTTAATGTATTGAAACAAAGTTGGCAAACTAGGTAATTTTATTGGCAATGTAAACTTGATCAGATTGAAGGATTCGTGTTGGTTATTAAAGAATACAAAAATCCAGCAGGTTTGAAGATCGGCTTTGTTGTATAGATGATCATTATACACATTCAATGTTACATGGATATGATGCAGGTGGAGGACCTAGATTACGACACATTGGCTTTGGAACAGCATGGTTGCTTAGTAATATTGTTTTATTTCAGCTTATAATTATTTAATTGTTGATTGATGTATTTTCGGTATTAATATTAATATTGCTTTTTCACATCTTGTTTATAAAGGAAATTTTTTAGGTATATGTGTTGATAACTTTCATGTTGTAATATTATTTATCTTCTTTGCACTTACTTTAATAAAATATTTCCATCCCTGCTGTCTGTTTTTCTCATTCTTTTGTCCCTAATGATGGACCGTAGTAAAATGTCACGTTCTAGTGTTGTCCCTAACGATGGACCGTAGTAAAATGTCACGTTCTAGTGTTGTCCCTAACGATGGACCGTAGTAAAATGTCACGTTCTAGTGTTGTCCCTAACGATGGACCGTAGTAAAATGTCACGTTCTAGTGTTGTCCCTAACGATGGACCGTAGTAAAATGTCACGTTCTAGTGTTGTCCCTAACGATGGACCGTAGTAAAATGTCACGTTCTAGTGTTGTCCCTAACGATGGACCGTAGTAAAATGTCACGTTCTAGTGTTGTCCCTAACGATGGACCGTAGTAAAATGTCACATTCTAGTGTTGTCCCTAATGATGGACCGTAGTAAAATGTCACGTTCTAGTGTTGTCCCTAACGATGGACCGTAGTAAAATGTCACGTTCTAGTGTTGTCCCTAACGATGGACCGTAGTAAAATGTCACGTTCTAGTGTTGTCCCTAATGATGGACCGTAGTAAAATGTCACGTTCTAGTGTTGTCCCTAATGATGGACCGTAGTAAAATGTCACGTTCTAGTGTTGTCCCTAATGATGGACTGTAGTAAAATGTCACGTTCTAGTGTTGTCCCTAATGATGGACCGTAGTAAAATGTCACGTTCTAGTGTTGTCCCTAACGATGGACCGTAGTAAAATGTCACGTTCTAGTGTTGTCCCTAATGATGGACCGTAGTAAAATGTCACGTTCTAGTGTTGTTCCCAATGATGGACCGTAATAAAATGTCACGTTCTAGTATGTTCCCTAATGATGGACTGTAGTAAAATGTCACGTTCTAGTATGTTCCCTAATGATGGACCTTTAAGTAAAATATCGCTGATGCTATCCCCATTTCCAAAGTAAGAGAGAACTGTCAAATGTAGAATGTATGTAGGATATTCCAACAATGAAATATTGATGATAAGGTATTTGATAATTATTTTTGCAAAGCATAGTGAACTTGATCTAATACTGTAAAATAACCATAAAGGATCTGGCATTTGGTAAGTATCATCTGTAAACAGAATGTAAAGCTTGATAAGTACAATCTCATGGGGTGTACAGTGTGATGTTATGTACGGTACACTAAGTCTCGACGGTATCATGGTGTGTACAGTGTGATGTTATGTACGGTACACTAAGTCTCGACGGTATCATGGTGTGTACAGTGTGATGTTATGTACGGTACACTAAGTCTCGACGGTATCATGGTGTGTACAGTGTGATTATCATGGTGTGTACAGTGTGATGTTATGTACAGTACATTAAGTCTCGACAGTATCATGGAGTGTACAGTGTGATGTTATGTACGGTACACTAAGTCTCGACAGTATCATGGAGTGTACAGTGTGATGTTATGTACGGTACACTAAGTCTCGATGGTATCATGGTGTGTACAGTGTGATGTTAGGTACGGTACACTAAGTCTCGACGGTATCATGGTATGTACAGTGTGATGTTAGGTACGGTACACTAAGTCTCGACGGTATCATGGTATGTACAGTGTAATGTTAGGTACGGTACACTAAGTCTCGACGGTATCATGGTGTGTACAGTGTGATTATCATGGTGTCTACTGTGTGATTATCATGGTGTGTACAGTGTGAGGTTAACACCGATATAGGTCGTACCTATACTAGGTCTAAACCTATTCACCGTTATAGGTCGTGCCTACACTAGGTCTAAACCTATTCACCGTTATAGGTCGTCCTACACTAGGTCTAAACCTATTCACCGTTATTGGTTGTACCTACACTAGGTCGAAACCTATTCACCATGATAGGTCGTGCCTACACTTGGTCTAGCCCTTTTCACCGTTATAGGTCGTGCCTGTACTAGGTCTAAAACTATTCATCGTCATAGGTTGTACCCATACTAGGTCTAAATCTATTCACCGTTATAGGTCGTGGCTACACTAGGTCTAAACCTATTCACCGTTATAGGTCGTCCTACACTATGTCTAAACCTATTCACCGTTATAGGTCGTGTCTTTCCTAGGTCTAAACCTATTCACCGTTATATGTCGTGGCTACACTAGGTCTAAACCTATTCACCGTTATAGGTCGTCCTACACTAGGTCTAAACCTATTCACCGTTATTGGTTGTACCTACACTAGGTCGAAACCTATTCACCATGATAGGTCGTGCCTACACTTGGTCTAGCCCTTTTCACCGTTATAGGTCGTGCCTGTACTAGGTCTAAAACTATTCATCGTCATAGGTTGTACCCATACTAGGTCTAAATCTATTCATCGTCATAGGTCGTGGCCACACTAGGTCTAAACCTATTCACCGTTATAGGTCGTGGCTACACTAGGTCTAAACCTATTCACCGTTATAGGTCGTGGCTACACTAGGTCTAAACCTATTCACCGTTGTAGGTCGTGGCTACACTAGGTCTAAACCTATTCACCGTTATAGGTCGTGGCTACACTAGGTCTAAACCTATTCACCGTTATAGGTCGTGGCTACACTAGGTCTAAACCTATTCACCGTTATAGGTCGTGCCTTTCCTAGGTCTAAACCTATTCACCGTTATAGGTCGTGGCTACACTAGGTCTAAACCTATTCACCGTTATATGTCGTGGCTACACTAGGTCTAAACCTATTCACCGTTGCAGGTCGTGGCTACACTAGGTCTAAACCTATTCACCGTTGTAGGCCGTGCCTTTCCTAGGTCTAAACCTATTCACCGTTATAGGTCGTGCCTTTCCTAGGTCTAAACCTATTCACCGTTATAGGTCGTGCCTTTCACTAGGTCTAAACCTATTCACCGTTATAGGTCGTGGCTACACTAGGTCTAAACCTATTCACCGTTATAGGTCGTGGCTACACTAGGTCTAAACCTATTCACCGTTATAGGTCGTGGCTACACTAGGTCTAAACCTATTCACCGTTATATGTCGTGGCTACACTAGGTCTAAACCTATTCACCGTTATAGGTCGTGCCTTTCCTAGGTCTAAACCTATTCACCGTTATAGGTCGTGGCTACACTAGGTCTAAACCTATTCACCGTTATAGGTCGTGGCTACACTAGGTCTAAACCTATTCACCGTTATTGGTTGTACCTACACTAGGTCTAAACCTATTCACCGTTATAGGTCGTGGCTACACTAGGTCTAAACCTATTCACCGTTATATGTCGTGGCTACACTAGGTCTAAACCTATTCACCGTTATAGGTCGTGCCTTTCCTAGGTCTAAACCTATTCACCGTTATAGGTCGTGCCTTTCCTAGGTCTAAACCTATTCACCGTTATAGGTCGTGGTTACACTAGGTCTAAACGTATTTACCGTTATAGGTCGTATCTACACTAGGTCTAATCCTAAAACCATTAGATATGGTACCAGCGACTCACCCAATGCACCGCTTTACATCATTGTAGGTCGTAATTTTGACTATTCTTAAACGCCACTCTAAGTCATACACGTGACTAACCTTAATCAACATTGTAGGTCACTATAAACTATAAACTATTGTATGGCGTAACTCTAGTTAACTTCAAACACCATAGTTAACTTTATAAATAATGGAAAACAAAATATTGATAAACAAAAACAAAAGTTTAATAAAAGATTGAATTCAATAAATAACAAATAACTTTACATGACTTGTACAAAGTAATTTAGGATCGCAGATCAGCCCGCTGTTTACGAAAGCCTACTAAGAGCTTTTAGCTCAACATTGTCAATGAATGGAAATATGAGGATACACAGAACCAGCCTGCTGGTCGCTGAAATACTCTGTATAGAGTTATATTCGTTGCTAATGTTTCAAATGTTCTTATTGATGCGATGATGACTACCACACTTCGTTACGATAATTATCGACATCCACACTCCCGTGCGATGATAACCGACAACTATTCTTCGTTACGATAATTACCGACATCCACACTCCCGTGCGATGATAACCGACAACTATTCTTTGTTACGATAATTATCGACATCCACACTCCCGTGCGCTGATAACCGACTACTATTCATCGTTACGATAATTATCGACATCCACACTCCCGTGCGATGATAACCGACAACCATTCTACGTTACGATAATTATCGACATCCACACTCACGTGCGATGATAACCGACTTCCATTCTTAGTTACGATAATTACCGACATCCACACTCACGTGCGATGATAACCGACTTCCATTCTTAGTTACGATAATTATCGACATCCACACTCACGTGCGATGATAACCGACAACCATTCTTTGTTACGATAATTATCGACATCCACACTCACGTGCGATGATAACCGACTTCCATTCTTAGTTACGATAATTATCGACATCCACACTCACGTGCGATGATAACCGACTTCCATTCTTAGTTACGATAATTACCGACATCCACACTCTTGTTTTATGATCCCTGAGAACCACACCTCTGTATGATAATGACCGACAACCAAACTCTTCTACTATGATAACCGACAACCACACAGCTGTGTCATAATAACCGACACCTACACTTCTGTATGATAATGACCGACGACCAAACTCCTCTACGATGATGACCGACAACCACACACCTGTGTGATGATAACCGACACCTACACTTCTGTATGATAATGACCGACAACCAAACTCTTCTACTATGATAACCGACAACCACACACCTGTGTGATAATAACCGACACCTACACTTCTGTATGATAATGACCGACGACCAAACTCCTCTACGATGATAACCGACAACCACACACCTGTGTGATAATAAGACACCCACACTTCTGTATGATAATGACCGACGACCAAACTCATCTACGGTGATATCCGACAACCACACCCTTGTGTGATAATAACCGACACCTACACTTCTGTATGATAATGACCGACAACCAAACTCTTCTACTATGATAACCGACAACCACACACCTGTGTGATAATAACCGACACCCAAACACCTGTGTGATAATAACCGACACCCACACTCCTGTATGATAATGACAGACGACCACATTCCTCTACGATGATAATCGACAACCACAGCCACACACTAAGAAACTACTGACAACCGCACTCTCGCATGACAATAACCGACAACAACACTTATGCATGAATATAACCAACAACTAGTCTCCTGGATGACAATAACCAACAATCACACTTATGTATGATAATTACCCCCAAGCACATTCACGTTTGATAATTACCGACAACCACACTCCTCTACGACCATGTCCTCGTGATGGCGGACAACAAGATCATCTCCTTCATAATACAGCATACTTTGTGGCCTCAGTTTTGTCGGTACACAACACGGCATGGAAACTTTCTTTTTCCTTCCATGAGTGTTAGCTCTCATCATTCCTTGCAACATCGCATGGTTGCTTGGCGACAGACTTTCCTTGATTGGTGACGGACAAATTCCTTTACACATCTTCGCGTTAAAATGTTTCGGGTGCACAATCCATTTACCCCAACCAATTGTATTAAAGTCCACTTTAAAATCTTTTACTTGACATAACTTCCGTTTCCTGTTGGTTCGATTCGATGTTTTTGTTGAACGTCGTGAGCGCTTCACACTTAAGAATCTGTTTTCTGTATTGTTTTTTGGATGAAATCCGTCCTGTTTTAAATGAACATTCAACATATCGGAGTCCTTTGAAAACATTACTAGAATGGCTTTGATTTTATTATAATCCCTCAGTCCTTTAAACATGTTTAATCTATTTCTCAGAGTTGTCGACATGGCTCCCGTCACCTCGTAAGCAAGTCTGATGTCAAGTGGTCCGTGAAAACCATTGATCCATGGCCTGACCAGTGAGGTCACATCCCAAACAGTGTCCAGCCCGTCGATCAAGGGTTTATGTCGGAGGAAGATCTTTCTTATCTTCGTCATGTTCTTTCCTATCTCCAATGCTATCCTTTTCTTTAATGATTGCAGCTGCTTCGTTTTTATCCGAATTTCCACTTGGTGAAACTGCTCTGCGTGCGCACGTTTCGGAATCCGGAACTGCATTTCCTGTTGTCTACCCCATAAAGTCACACCTGAAAATACAGAATGGTTCTATTGTGAATGTCCATGTAAAGAGTTTTATAAATGAAAGGTGTCGTGTTCAAGATTTTTTAACTGCGGTGAAGATATTTGGGTTACTTTAATGACGAACAACTCCGTGGATATCATTTCTTATCCTTCTTGTAAACAAACGGAAAACCATCTTACACTTAACATACAAACAACTATCTTACACTTAACATACACACAATTATCTTACACTTAACATACACACAACTATCTTACACTTAACATACACACAACTATCTTACACTTAACATACACACAACTATCTTACACTTAACATACACACAACTATCTTACACTTAACATACACACAACTATCTTACACTTAACATACACACAACTATCTTACACTTAACATACACACAACTATCTTACACTTAACATACACACAACTATCTTACACTTAACATACACACAACTATCTTACACTTAACATACACACAACTATCTTACACTTAACATACACACAACTATCTTACACTTAACATACAAACAACTATCTTACACTTAACATACAAACACCTATCTTACATTTAACATATACACAGCTATCTTACACTTAACATACACACAACTATCTTACATTTAACATATACACAACTATCTTACACCTAACATACACATAATTATCTTACACTTAACATACAAACACCTATCTTACATTTAACATATACACAGCTATCTTACACTTAACATACACACAACTATCTTACATTTAACATACACACAACTATCTTACACTTAACATACAAACACCTATCTTACACTTAACATACACACAACTATCTTACACTTAACATACACATAATTATCTTACACTTAACATACATACAGCTATCTTACACTTAACATACAAACACCTATCTTACACTTAACATACACACAACTATCTTACACTTAACATACACACAACTATCTTACACTTCACGTACACACAACTATCTTACACTTAACATACAAACACCTATCTTACACTTAACATACATACAGCTATCTTCACTTAACATCACTCAACTTTCACTTACCATACACACAACTATCTTACACTTAACATACAAACACCTATCTTACACTTAACATACAAACACCTATCTTACACTTAACATACATACAGCTATCTTCACTTAACATCACTCAACTTTCACTTACCATACACACAACTATCTTACACTTATTATACACACAACTATCATACACTTCACGTACACACAACTATCTTACATTTAACATACACACAACTATCTTACACTTAACATACACACAACTATCTTACACTTAACATACACACAACTATCTTACACTTAACATACACACAACTATCTTACACTTAACATACAAACACCTATCTTACACTTAACATACACACAACTATCTTACACTTAACATACACACAACTATCTTACACTTAACATACACACAACTATCTTACACTTAACATACATACAGCTATCTTACACTTAACATACACACAGCTATCTTACACTTAACATACACACAGCTATCTTACACTTAACATACACACAGCTATCTTACACTTAACATACACACAACTATCTTACACTTAACATACACACAACTATCTCACACTTAACATACATACAGAAATCTTACACTTAACATACACACAACTATCTTACACTTAACATACACACAACTATCTTACACTTATTATACACACAACTATCTTACACTTGACATACACACAATTATCTTACACTTAACATACACACAACTTTCTGGCATTTCATTAACACACAACTACAACGAGACCACCAGACACGAACGGGCACCAAAAAAGTCTAACTTCATGTCGCACACTACCGTAGAATATTTCCCAATAAAACCACTATTATTGCCACAAACCTTCACCGCATTCTTCATTAACATGCAGCATGTCAGTACAACAGGTTGGGGAAGCAAATTGTTACTATCCAGAATTGGAAAAAATAGACATGTTTACGTTCACAGATAGGAGTTTGTTGGTTTAGTATGAGTGTGACGTGTCATAAGAGGACATGGTCAGTCATTTTTTGTTTCGTCATCATATCTATATAATATCTGTTTAAAGGTACTAAATCATGACCTGGAGATGTTAATAGTGTGTTATACCACCTATAACCCTATAACAATCACCTGTGTCGCAGAATGATGAGAAGTCAAGGACAGTGGTCCTTTACTACAGGGTCTAACAGAAAATATATTAAACATATCAAACATGCAGAGAGATTCTACAGAAATGAAAGCCGCTCAGATTTAAGTGTCATTCTTTGTTGAATCTAAATCAGAAAAGATAAATAGATTTACTTAGTTTGATCCGATTTGTGAAACCTATCGGACATGAACAAAATCCACACATAGACAACGTTGTAATGGCTAAATACTTTAGGAGGAAGTGATTTACCTTCATTTTTATTTTACGACTAAATAATTAAAGGAGTATTATCGGTTATTGATAAGCGTTAGGGTGCGATGTAATGGCCTTTATTGGCCACGAGGATTGGGTAATCCTCCACCCCTACACCTCCAATCCACCGCATCCCTTATCTCACAGTCCTAAGCTTGTTGTCGCCGCTAGACAACTCAGTAAGCGCCCTGGGACCTGATATGGATACCCCGGGTATAAGGTTTGTCAAATATATCACGTGGACTGGGGAATTAATGCTGGGAATACAAGGGGCTCTGTAACAGACAAACATATCGTGTGATGTTGTCAGATGACGGCTGTTATCACTGGTTCGTAAGCTCGTTCACAACTCCGGCCCGACTCAGCTCGGCGATGTACTAATGCTGACGGTGTGAGGCTCGCTGGATTATTACTAATGTGATTATTGTTCAGTTCGTAATACGGCGTGGTCAGGTTTCTTGGGACGTATGATATGTTACATCGGCATTTGGAAATACCACTTAAATTTTAAGTGAACGTAAAAACGAAGTCCATTTCAATCAATATTCACGTGGAACATTTAATATGATAAACAGGTACCCGAACCACAAACGTCACCAATATTATTACCATGGTTACGTACATATTATGTTTCCACGAATATAACACCGAGAAAGTAATGTTACCTACTGTTTCGGCTGATCGATCTTGTAACTTTCCGCGACATTTGGTCCAAAGAAACGTCATCATTAAAAATAATGTCATATTTAATTGTCACAATGGCAAATAACACGTGTATTTCAATTGAATTGAATACTATGGAAACCAAAAGTTTCTATATTGTTAAAATTAGGACACGGTTATGAACAAGAATACAATTACCACCGTATGTGTTCGACATCACACAAGTAATTTCACTGCGCTTGTCATCACACTGGTATATCGCTATGTTATCACACATGTTACATCACTGGTATTACACATTTTAACTCACTCTGGTTTTATTCATTTTAACTCACTCAGGTATTACATATTTTAACTCACTCTGATTTAACACATCATAACTCACTCTGATTTAACACATTTTAACTCACTCTGGTATTACTCATTTTAACTCACTCTGATTTAACACATCATAACTCACTCTGATTTAACACATTTTAACTCACTCTGGTATTACTCATTTTAACTCACTCTGGTATTACTCATTTTAACTCTGGTTTTACTCATTTTAACTCGCACTTGTTTGACTCATTTTATGTCACTCTGGTTTTACACATGTTAACTCACTTTGGTTTTACACATGTTAACTCACTTTGGTTTTACACATTTTAACTCACTTTGGTTTTACACACCTTAATTCACTCGGGTTTTACTCATATCAACTCACTCTTGTTTTACACATCTTAACTCATTCTGGTTTTACACATCTTGATTCACTCTGGTTTTACACATCTGAACTCGCTCTGGTTTTACTCCTATTAACTCACTCTGGGTTTACACATTTTAACTCACTCTAGTTTTACACATCTTAACTCACTCAGATTTTACACATTTTAACTCACTCTGGTTTTACACACCTTAACTCACTCTGGTTTTACACATTTTAACTCACTCTGGTTTTACACACCTTAACTCACTCTGGTTTTACTCATATCAACTCACTCTTGTTTTACACATCTGAGCTCACTTTGGTTTTACACATTTTAACTTACTCTGGGTTGACACATTTTAACTCACTCTTGTTTTACACATCTTAACTCATTATAGTATTACTCATATTAACTCACTCTGTTTTTGCACATTTTACCTCACTCTAGTTTTACACATTTTAACTCACTCTGGTTTTAGACATTTTAACTTACTCTGGGTTGACACATTTTAACTAATTCTGGTTTAACACGTTCTACTAATACACATTTTATAAGAAGTGTCACAAGGATATGTGTGTGAAAATGGCCAGGCTTTAATTGTATTTTGACTTCTTTATTTGAAAATAAGTTCAATCTTTTTTATTAGTGAAATGTGTCTTTCAGTTAAACTTATAGTGAATTGTGTCTATCAGTTAAACTGAATCAACATCCTCCCTTTGGTGTATGTTAACGACATTGTTATATACAGGGAAACCAGGATTCTCTCAATAAGTTTAGATAATAAACTTCAGATATAGTCAGACAAACCGAAAATAGAGTGGTAGAAATACCATGGTACCGATCTACAAGCATTGACGAATTACGTTACTTATGATGACAAGTGTCCATATGAAAAGCAGTACGACCTTTACAGTCACGATTTTGATATTTATACACAATACTCTGCCTTAATTACATAGAACAGGGAGATCACTACCTCTTTTAATTAGTGGGAGTTAAGTAACGGCGTGTTATCAAAGGTTTGATCTTTGGTTTGTCTATGTACGTGTTGGTGAAGATAAAAATTATCTATTTTAAAACATTTTATATGATGTTAAAATTCCTCCAAGAGACGAGGATATTTTAAATTTATGTCATGTGACATATCTTGTACAAAGCTCCATTCTAATATTTAGATAAGATATTTTTGATTTCAGCCTTATAAAAGCATTAATGCTCAGTTTTCTCTTTTATTCTAGAAAAATATTTCGTGGAAAGTATGGAACTCGCTGTAGTGAAGTACGTGTTGTAATGTTCGTATAATTTTTAAAATATTGATATATTTAATAAATAACACACATACACCCCAAGTTACAATTAAACGCTATTGCATGGCGCCAACAGTAAGCTGAATTCATCCTGTAACATTGTGATAGAAAACGTGTCAAATTCACCAATTTGTTGACTTCATCTCACCTTCTGCGTGTATAGTTCTTATGGTGTTGGAAAGTGACAGACCCAGCGTCCTCCTCCCGTGGCCAGATGCATTCTCAAATGATCCTCCTCCGAGCAGACGACGGTACACTTCCAATAGGAAATGTGTAGACTCGGACTTTCCCCCGGATATTTGCTCCTCCGTAAACATTCCGTCGCTTACACAATCTATCCCAGATAGATATATGAGAGCAAGTCCAATCACGATGATATAATTAGTGAGAAACATCCCTTATGTTCATCAACAATATAAAGTAAGTAAAAAATAAACTGCAAATTCAGTCCAGTGGACAATGGAGAATGGATACACGTTCCTCGGTAGAGTGGTGAGGGGTAGTTTTCACCTGTGCGATCAACCGGTATGTGGGAGGAGTTAGTGGCGTGCACTTTAAGTGGTGATATTGCTCAAACCTAGCGGCAGACCAGTTAATTAATCCCGATTGCTTAAAGTTGTCACATCCAAGTCACGACATTTGTCACGTCTATAGATTACCTAGTAAGTTACATGCTTGCATGTTTATTTAGATGTATCAAATAGGCTATATCGATATACTGCGTTACCAGGTGACCAGTTTTGATGGAATACTGAAAACTACAAGGAGAAACACTTTTAAATCTCTGCTTTTCGTTTTTGGCTCTCTCCGTTCAAATGTATAGATATAATATTAAATATATGTATATATATATATATAAACAGAGATCGAACATACGAAAGAGTAATATTGTATATTGTGTGACGTGTAGTGTACTGTGACGTGTGTTTGTAATAATTGTAGTATGACGTTCGTTTGAGGGATGTGCAGTGTGACGTGTGTTTGTAATAATTGTAGTATGACGTTCGTTTGAGGGATGTGCAGTGTGAGGTGTGTTTGTAATATTTTTAGTATGACGTTCGTTTGAGGGATGTTTAGTGTGAAGTGTGTTTGTAATATTTTTAGTATGACGTTCGTTTGAGGGATGTTTAGTGTGAGGTGTGTTTGTAATATTTTTAGTATGACGTTCGTTTGAGGGATGTTTAGTGTGAAGTGTGTTTGTAATATTTTTAGTATGACGTTCGTTTGAGGGATGTTTAGTGTGAGTGTGTGTTTGTAATATTTTTAGTATGACGTTCGTTTGAGGGATGTTTAGTGTGAAGTGTGTTTGTAATATTTTTAGTATGACGTTCGTTTGAGGGATGTTTAGTGTGAGGTGTGTTTGTAATATTTTTAGTATGACGTTCGTTTGAGGGATGTGCAGTGTGAGGTGTGTTTGTAATATTTTTAGTATGACGTTCGTTTGAGGGATGTTTAGTGTGAAGTGTGTTTGTAATATTTTTAGTATGACGTATGTTTGTAATATTCGTAGTGTTACGTATGTTTTGGCCATGTGTAGCGTGACGTATGTTTGAGTGATGTGTAGCGTTACGTATGTTTTGGCCATGTTTAGCGTGACGTATGTTTGAGTGATGTGTAGTGTTACGTATGTTTTGGCCATGTGTAATTAGACGTGTGTCTGTGTAGTTTGTTAGATGACTTGAAATGATTCAAAATCCAAAAGTTTCGTTATTATATACACATGTGTGTTTATTATATAATTTATCAATTTACATAATACTCTTTACATAAATTTTGTGGTGACCACACGCGTAATGTCAACTAGCGAAATGTGATTGGATAAAGGCTCACGTTGTTTCCATTTTGGCGTCATCACTTCATGGGCTCGTTTGTGTTATAGAAAGACAGAAATAAAGTGAGAATATCGCCGTTTTTTCCCCATTATTTTGATAAAATTCTGTTTTCACAAATAGTTCAAAGGTGTCTGGGAGAATAAACCGAATCTTAAGCTTTGATTTCTTTTTGTGAAATTTATGAAACTCGCTTGAGGCTCAGTGAAATGGAAGTTCCAAGACTTTTTTTAAAATGAATGAATCATTTCATATCACCTGTTCTCAGTTCGTATTGGAGCATAACCATTAATACTTTTCAGTTTCTAATAGAAAACTACTTAGTACCATAAATACCATTAATGATTTAGTCAAGTGAATGGTTTACAAAATAACAAGTTGGTGACCCCGGATTAAACATCGACATTATGAAAAGCAAACGATTGCACCAAAAAATATTTAGTAGTCTAGAGCATATGAAGAATTATCTTTCAACATAAATAAAATTTGTCTCCCTTCTCAAAAAAATCGAAAGTTGAGGTTTTGACCCAAGTTTTACAACTTATGTTCGGTTTTATTTCAAGATTCCACGTATTTCAGTCGCTTTAATCAGAGCTCTCTATACATAAGGTTATGTTTCCGACAGCAGCACTGTACTCCAGATTCACTATTATATACGGCTTTACTGATCACGCGCTACTTTCATGTAATTTCATAGTTTGTTTAACTTTGCTCGAGAAATTCCTCCCGATCGTTCAGGAAAAGAAAGCAAAATAGGGTACAATTATTCTCCTCTTGTTGTATGCCAAAACTTAAAGAGAAGATTTGTTATAAAGGTTTTACATATATTTATATATTATAAATAACATGTTTATCCATTTTTACTACATTTTGTTTACCACAGGCCTGATGCTCAATTTACACTGAAAGCTTACTTGAAATCGACGAATGGACTTATTTAAAGAATGTACTATTAACATGTTTCTGTAGGAGAATAGCCAAAGACGACGAAACATCGCCTTGCGTTTTCGTCGAATATCAATAAAAAATATGCAGCATATTGTCTTAAGTCTCCGTCATTAATCAAGTGATTGCCATATCTGTGTAGGCTTCCGTATTTGCCATACGATGACATCTGATCCTACAAACGACCATTAACGATGTTGTGATAGATTAAGTCGTTGTCTAAACATACTTACCCTCACGCTGGCCGATTAATTACATATTTAAACATTGCAGTGAGAATGGAGTAACAAGGTGTGGTTATGTCGGCGCCCCGCCCGTCTACTCCATTCGTTCCCACACCCAGGCGTTGGTCATTGTTTTGTTTTCTTCGCTGATTAACAGGATTAACGACCTCGTACGAGATAAACGGCCGGCGATCGAGATATGACCCTGTGATTGCTGACCATTAAAACTGCTACGATCGTAGCGTAAAATCACAAGACGTCATTTTGACATTAGAGTGAATGGCGTTTGACTTTCCGATGTACTGAAGCTTAACATTTAAACTGTTACGTGTACTGTCAGGAATTATTACACTATCTGGCGTATAATCTTCATTATCCCAAGCAATGAAATTAATATACATATAAGTTATTTTAACATTGTGTTTCTCAAATAAAACAGTTTTTTATTTCTCTCTGTACATTTTTCAGATTTGTCACAAAATTCCTAAAAATATCAGAAGTCTTAATCGGTAATATGGACGCTTTATGGACGATCATTTTGTCACTACGGCGATGTATACGGACGCTTCGTTTCTTCATAAGACAATGTCTACTGACGTTTCGTTTCCACATAAGACAATGTATACTGACGTTTCGTTTCCTCATCACGGCGATGTCTACTGACGTTTCGTTTCCACATAAGACAATGTATACTGACGTTTCGTTTTCTCATCACGGAGATGTATACTGACGTTTCGTTTCCTCATCACGGCGATGTATACTGACGTTTCGTTTCCTCATCACGGCGATGTATACTGACGTTTCGTTTCCTCATCACGGCGATGTCTACTGACGTTTCGTTTCCTCATCATGGCGATGTCTACTGACGTATTGTTTTTTTTATCACGGCGATGTATACTGACGTTTCGTTTCCTCATCACGGCAATGTATACTGACGTTTCGTTTCCTCATTACGGCGATGTATACTGACGTTTCGTTTTCTCAACACGGCGATGTATACTGACGTTTCGTTTCCTCATCATGGCGATGTCTACTGACGTTTCGTTTCCTCATCATGGCAATGTATACTGACGTTTCGTTTCCTCATCACGGAGATGTATACTGACGTTTCGTTTCCTCATCACGGCGATGTATACTGACGTTTCGTTTCCTCATCACGGCGATGTATACTGACGTTTCGTTTCCTCATCACGGCAATGTATACTGACGTTTCGTTTCCACATAAGACAATGTATACTGACGTTTCGTTTCCTCATCAAGGCGATGTCTACAGACGTTTCGTTTCCTCATCACGGCGATGTATACTGACGTTTCGTTTTCTCAGCACGGCGATGTATACTGACGTTTCGTTTCCTCATCATGGCGATGTCTACTGACGTTTCGTTTCCTCATCATGGCGATGTCTACTGACGTATTTTTTTTTTATCACGGCGATGTATACTGACGTTTCGTTTCCTCATCACGGCGATGTATACTGACGTTTCGTTTCCTCATCACGGCAATGTATACTGACGTTTCGTTTCCACATAAGACAATGTATACGATACTGGCTTTTGTTGTCTTTTAGAAAGTTGGGAATCATGATAATCACGATTAGTGTTAGCTTCGATTATTTCAATTTTCTTACAAGAGACAGTATGTACCGATTCTTTCATTGAAATTGATGGACTCTGAGCACTGGTCCCTGAACACTGTTCCCTGAACAATGGACCCTGAACAATGAACCCTGAACACTAGTCCCTGAACACTGGGCCCTGAACACTGGTCCCTGAACACTGGACCCTGAACACTGGTCCCTGAACACTGCACCCTGAACACTGGACCCTAAGCACTGGTCCCTGATAACTGGACCCTGAACACTGGTCCCTGAACACTGGACCCTGAACACTGGACCCTGAACACTGGACCCTGAGAACTGGTCCCTGAACACTGGACCCTGAACACTGGTCCCTGATAACTGGACCCTGAACACTGGACCCTAAACACTGGTCCCTGAACACTGGACCCTGAACACTGGACCCTGAACAATGGTCCCTGACCACTGGTCCCTGAACACTGGACCCTGAAGTCCCTGAACACTGGACCCTGAACACTGGACCCTGAACACTGGTCCCTGAACACTGGTCCCTGAACACTGGACCCTGAACACTGGACCCTGAACAATGGTCCCTTAACACTGGTCCCTGAACACTGGACCCTGAACACTGGACCCTGAACACTGGTCCCTGAACACTGGACCCTGAACACTGGACCCTGAACACTGGTCCCTGAACAATGGTCCCTGAACACTGGTCCCTGAACACTGGTCCCTGATAACTGGACCCTGAACACTGAACCCTGAACACTGGACCCTGAACAATGGTCCCTGAACACTGGACCCTGAACACTGGACCCTGA